GTCAGGCCCGCATGTTTTTGTTATCGTTTCGCAACTCTGTACGTCACAGTGTCCTTGAACACATTAGCGGCGGGTGGAAATAACAAATTATTATTGGCAAAGTGGATTTATCAACCAAATGCAGCCTCAGAGTGAGGGCTGAGTAAACACATTTTATAACAAACATTCTCAAATGTTGGGCACAAAACATTCTTATCCATCCTGCCTCTTACATCTTCATTTTTATTGGTGAAAATTATTGAAATTTCACAAATATGTCAGTGCTTTCTGGTATGAAAACACGCACGCTTGGTTTGTTTGTGTCACTGAAGACGATGTTTGATTTACTCTGAACTCTAATCAAAACCATAACCACCACACACTAACCACGTCCTAAATCTCACGTTGACATGAACCAAAACTTCAGGCTTAGAATCATGTTTGTCCCCAAACACGAACCAGGTTTTCCACAATGTCACTGTGTACACTGCCCCCCACCCCCACCCCCGCCCTCACCGTCCACCGTGCTTATATCATTTAAAATGCACACATTTTTACATACATACTGTAGGTTTGTTCAGATGCTTCTGCTCGAGCCACCGCTGGCTTTATTCCCTGATTGGCTTCAACAATGAATGACTCCAATATTAAAATCATATCCATGTTGCATGGTCATATGGCCAACCCCAGACACCAGACAACTTCAAGTTGTTGGATAAAGGATAAAACATTATGGTCATATGGCCGACACCAGACAACGTCAAGTTGTTGGATAAAGGATAAAACATGCACTGACCCAGTAACCCAAACATTGGACAACACTTGAACTTTGATTACGTTTAAGGAGATTTCTGAACATGCTGTTCAAGAACAGGGCTGTGAAATTAGTTAATGAGTCGGCCCAAACTTTCTTACTACGAAAGTAAGTCAGCCAAGGTATCTGGTGAATAATTGATGGGACGTAGCTACAAAATTTGGACCAAACCATAAATTAAATAAATCATTAAATGCTTTTTTGTAACCTAACACACTCATTGTCAAATAAACAGGCTCGGGACATGGAGGTAAACACGAGACGTCAGTGTATGTCAGACTAAGTCAACGATCGCCTGAGTTGCATTAGTGACATTCCCAACATCTAAGAAAAGTCTGGATACTGTCTGACTGTGACCTATGACCTTAGACAATAGTGCCAAGTCATTTCTTTGTCGAGCCTTGGTCATTATCAGGACAATACAACTTGAGAAATTGTGTTTATTTCTATCGACATTCCTATGGAGGTAACAAAGTAAACACACACTTCCCACTCCATGACATGATGCACCCTGTCTATCTGTTACTGACTGTTTACTTCAACTCAGGATTGAAGTAATCGACGTTTTTCTTCTTCCTGACTCCCTGTTGTCCTTTTTCTTCCTCCTGTTTTTACCACTCCTGCTGTGTCGGAACCCCTGCAGCATTTTTGGGCAAGTATCCTTCACCTCCTCTCCTTTTTCTCATCCTTCCATACTTTGAGCTCCCTTCCACCCCTGTCTGACCCTTTGGATGTAGTTTCACTTCTTTTTCACATCACAATCTCAGAATAGTGTTGATGTCGTCTTCTTCTTGTCTTTATCCAATGGTTTTTGAGAAATAACGCTCTCAGAAGGAGCACTTGGCATACAAACACTTACCCACACGGCGTTCCGCAGACGGTGTGTGTGTGTGTGTGTGTGTGTGTGTGTCTGTGTGTCTCGTCAGACGCATGTATGTGCTTAACCCCCACCTGGTCAAATTGCCCTCTGATGTGGTTTTGGCACGAAGCGGCTGCAGCAGGCAGAACCCAGGACAGGATGTTTGTATTATGATCAGCTAAAGGTGAAGCCATCAAGGAGAAAGCTGTGACTCTGTACTTAGGTCTCCTTCATTCATCTGTTTATTTATCTGTTTGAATCACTTGGGGTTTTTTTTTTTTACTTTTTTTTACTGC